GGATAGTGCGGCGGGGATTTTCTCCACGAAAGATGGCCACGACGTTGAACCACTCCACGTCATAGTCCAGCAGGGAGCACCGCATGAGATGGCCGAGGGTGATGCCGCCCATGCTCCCCCGCGCCCAGGTCTTTATCAGGTTCTGCTTGGAGAAACCGCGCTCGAAGTTGACAGTGCTCAGCAGGAGAACGACGACAGCTTGCCACATGAGCATGATGTTGGGGTAGCCGAGCTGCCAATTGCTGTCACGCAGCGTGTTGCTGAGCGCCTGGAAGAAGTCCTCATGATGATGCTGGGAGTGCATGGTGGATGTGAACATCCACAGCTCCGTGACTGCTTTGTTGTAGTTGAATCTTGCAAGGGGGGTTCGGGGCGATGAGGGAGGAATTGTTCAGTGTTGATTTTGTTTGCATAGCATAGTGTACCACGACTCCACGGTTGAGAAGTAGGCGATCTAGATTACCTGGGAGCTTGTGCCGAAATAGGCCGTCCAGCTGCTTCAGCCACCTCTTGAAGGCCGCCACGTGCAGGATGTCGTCATCCAGGTAGGTCTTCTCCAGGAACAACTTAGTGCCCTCCAGGTTACGCAGATTGTTCAGACGTCGGTCGAGGAACATGTTGACGGAGGGAGCATACTTGACACAGAGCTCGAGGCAGGCTCTCACGTCGCTGTTGGAATCTTGGCCCAGCAGCGGTCGCTCATAGAGTTGGAAGGAGAATGTCTGCGGGTTTCCGTCACTGTCAACGCCCTCGGCCGTTATCACCCGCTTGTCCTTAGCCGCATGCGTCGCGATGAACTTCGGCAGATGGAGCTTCTCCCCATGGCCGAAGACGTGCCCAGGCCCAGAGCTGAGGTAGTGCGCCGTGATCTGCATCTTGGTTTGCTCAACCACGTGTGCCATGAGTGTCACGTCAATCTGTAGGGGCGGGCACAACACACGCACCACGCATCAGTGCTATGCTTTGCGCGGGAAACCACATAGACCGGTCGGCAAACATGGGGGGTGAGAGTCAAACACGCGTAACGATATAATGATTGGATCAGACATGGTGATACATACATGTCGCCGCTGAAACCGTTGGTTGAGGATGTTCAGCTCCGTCAGAATGTCGGCGAGGAAGAGCAGGAGAAAATGATACTTGAACGAAGTAATGACTTCGTACAAGTCACTCCCATGCTCGCGTAGCAACAAGATGACAGTTGGGAGCACGTCCACGAGGCGGTTCACCGCTAGCGGATTACATGGATTCCCTGGTGTTCCAAGGTTGTCAGACTGAAGATCAGCTGCAGCGCCATGAAGCGGGTATGGCGCGCATGACTGCGTCCAAGGATGTCGGCCAGTGTCCTTATGACCAGGTCGATGATGCTTAGCTCGGGCACGGATGCAGCCACGTCCTTAGCCGCCAGCGCCTCCCTGAAGGCGGGGTGGGAGGATAGGGGCAAAGTAGTAGAAAGGCTGATGTTAGTTCCACGAATATAATGCACAACCATGGATATCATCCGAAAGTTTAAACGCCCGTCGAACAGCAACAAACCGATGGGCAATGCAACTAATCGAGACGAGGTGCTCGAATTGTGCGCGCAGACGGGTCACTACTCCGCTCCGCTCGCCGTCATTATGGAAGCTCCACCAGTCGCGATGCCCACGATCTTTTGCAAGTCCAGTCCCATTCCCTGGATGTAGTGCAGGAAGGAGGTAGTCAAAGATGCCGCGCCAGTCCGGTCGACACTCAGAAGCGTGACAAACTCTTTCGCCATGGTGTTGCCCTTGAAAAACGTCTCGTAGAGCACGATATGTTTCCCGTGGATATGATCCGTGCTCTCGTCGATGCTGATGCCGACGTAGGGAGAGGCGCGAAGGTGTTTTAGCTGTTCCTCCTGTAGATACTCCGACATGGACCGCATGCTCTCCTTGAAACCGTAACTGCATGTCATGGAAACAAGAAGAGATAGACGATGGGCCATTTATACCATACAAGAAGGCCACAATTAGTGCACGTGGGGAGGGAGGACGAGCAGTGAGCATCAAACGGAAAAGCGCACAACACAAGGTTTTAACTTATTCTGTGTAGTAGGCGCCATACCCACCACATGGCGGCAGATCGGGGTGGCCTTCCTTCGCGAGGAACCAACACAGGGGGATGAATATCGCGATGGGCACATCATGCCTGCAAATGAACAACGCGATGTGCAGCATGCGGATAAGTTGTCACGTCTGGTGATCCGTCCGCTGCCAGCGGCTCAGGGTCACTAGCCCCGCGCGCTCTTTCTCAGCATCCTCCTCCGCCTTGAGCGCCGATTTGTGCGCACGGTTGCCGATGTGAGAGCGGATACTGCCGAGCTGCACATCGCGCCCCCCCTCACCCTTGATGCCGTACGACGTGTTCGCACATGGGTCGGTGTGTTTGAGGTACGTGGCGCACTTGAGAGCAGGTCGTCTGCTCTTCATTCAATGTAGCCACAACCAGGAGAACCGTTTTGACCAGTCGTTGTCGAAACAGTTTTTAATTACTACGTACTCGGCCTCAGCAGCAGTCGGCAGCAGGCCCGGCAAGGCGAGAAGGGCGCGCGGGAGGCGGGATTGCTGGGCGGCAAGGCAGAGGCGCACCCCAGAGGGTCGACTGCGTCCATGCGGACCGTGGCGGCCTTTTGGCAGTTTTGGAGGTAGGGGAGAGTTGGGTTGTCACGGAGGGATGGTCGGACTCATCCGCATCGGTAGACTCTGAAACGTCGATGGGCTCGATGCCCCGCGGGGATGGAGAAAGGGATCTATGAATCTGTAGTGGGGCGGGCTGAGGAATTTGCAGAGAGCGCGGGGGAGATTTACGCTGGGTGAACGAGGGCGTGAGTGCTTGTGGAGCGAGGGGGAAAACACTGAGGATGCTAAGGCCATCACGATGACCAACATGGCTATCGTCAGGCTCGTCGTTCTCGGGAACGGCCATGTCTGAATACTAGAAGCGATAGAGTAATAACTAAAGAGGGGAATGATTGACCCAGCTCGGCTGGGTTGGGTGAAGTATGAAGAGAAGTTGGGGGAAGAAGAGGATGAGGACGATGGGCCAAGAATGGTCTCGTGATAGGGAACGAAAACCGCACAGCGCGGCAAAGTCAACATGCTATGGCAGACTGTCCTTGCGCCGCGGGTGTTGCTGCGCTGGTGCATGCGATGCCCAGCTGTCCTTGAGACCAGGCAGGAAAGTGGCCACGATGCACAGCGGATACTGCATCCAGCACGCCGTTGGCTTGATACCGCGCGACGATTCTGGGGGGCTTGACTGCCAGTACATTTGTCGGCGGGCGGGCATGGCTGGTGGAGTTTCACACGTGGCAGATTCGACAACAATCGAATCTGCAGACTTTGTAGGCTTCTGTTTCAGGGTGTTTTCGGCAACACCCTGTCTGGTCAGGGTAGATCGCTGGCTACAGCAGGGAAAAAAGAAAAACACTTTTAGAGAAAGTCACAAACAAAATACCATTTGAAAATCAGGGTGATCCTGAAAAATCGGCCACTGGCAAGGGCAATCAGGGTGAAATACCCTTCAAATTTGAGTCTCGGCCCAACCTAGATGAAAGGCCGGTTGTACTCGATGTCAGCGAGGCTCGATAAGGAAAAGGGATTTTCCTTACAATGGTTCACTTCACTAAATTGCAGATGTTTCTGAAGTGTCTTTTTGTTCATACATTGTGAAGGTTGGCTATGGATTAAAAAGGTTAAGTAGGAGGCTCAAATAATGAGGAATTGGCATAACGAGTTAAACAACGCTGAATGATGTCGTGTCGTGAAATAATAATGGGTCTCGCTATACGCTGCTGGAACGCGGTGGCTTCGCAGATTTCCTAGTTATGCCCGCGGATTTGTTGGGCTACGTACGTGGCCCCAACCACACCTCTCATTTGAACAGTCGGGCAAGACCCATAACCGCTCCTAACCTCTTACCTTCTGATTTCCCAGCCTGGCAGGTTTGGCTACGTACATTTCGCCAGGCAAGGTGAGGAAACGAAGGCTCGGCGGCGCACCATAGCACCATACATAGCGGAAGCTTGGCGCGGAAGGGCACCTTCACCTTTTCAGGGAGTTCACCCACACCTGCCTTTTTGGCTGGTGTTTCCAAAATGTACAGACAGTGAAGTGTAGTGCTCTTGATTGGTGATTCTCTTCCACAATTTAAGGTTACGGAAGGTTTCATACTAGTTTTGTCACATATTTGGTCTGCCCTACAATCAGAGTCAAGTGAAGAACGCCACCTTCCTCCTCCACCTCCTCTTCCTCCTCACCACCAGCCCCAGAATATTCGGTGTTTCCTCAACGCCAGCTGAGCAGAACCATGGCGGGGGTGGCTGCATCCTGTAAAAGATACTGGCTGTTTGCTGCAGGCACGTGGAAAAGGAATGGACATGGAAACGAATGCCCCGAGCCTAACCAAATTGGGGTTAGGAACGATAAAGGCTTCCAAACCAACAGCGGCCTGTTTCCGGATGGTTTCACCTCGTCGTGGTGTCATCCGATAAAGTTGAAAACTAATCGCATGCTTGTTAAGTTTAATAAAACGCGCCTGATTGGTTTTCCAATTTTCTCGGATGTCAGTAGGTTGAGATGACACCATCTAGAAACATGCCAGGAGCACTATCGCACACACCGACCGATTACTCCCTGGGAGCCAAGCTTATATTTGAGGCTCGGCTCCTTACCAACTGGTGTGGCTCTGGGTCTCGTTTCCATTTCCATTCCTTGTCCATGTGCTTCCAGAACGAGGCCACTGAATCACTCTTATGGGAGCAATAGGTCAACTGTTGTGGGCTCTGATTCTGGGAAAGGCAGAGAACCACGGAAGAGGCTCACAGGCAACCTGTCCCTTGATTTGTGGCTCACATTCCGTGGCAGAATTCTGAAAAGCTGCTGCGCTCCAATGGTTTGAACCTCATGCACGTGCTCAGCTCGTCCTACTTACGTAACCGAATGGGATTGGTTAGTTTTCCTACGGAAAGCCTTTTCATCCCACTGTCACCCAGAATAGCCGAAAAGGCTGCAGGTGACCCTCCTCCCCCCGAACCGCACCAAGCCAAGGGACCACCCCGAACTGTGGTGCTGTTTCTTCGCTGGCCATGCTGTGGCGCGTTGGTCCCTAGCTAGGTACGATAGTGAGTAGTTATAAACTCGGTGTTATCGTGGTTATGACAAGAAGGCCATTCCTCCCACGAAGTAGCATATTCCTGTCTGTCCCTCCAAGCCTGAAGCGAGTGCTAGCGACACGCCCTGACTGGCTCGCGAGCAGCCATTCCTTCCAAATCGCCGGGTTAATGACGGCGTCGTAAAAAATTTGAGGTGCCTAGGAACAGAGGCGTCTTTTGTAGCACAGTTTCCAAGTACAGAGATTCCTCACCGACACTTTCAGTAGCCAGTTTCGTCACGAGAAACAAACCGAATTTCTCGTAAACTTTGAAGATGCCTGGCCTGCTCAAGCACGGGAAACTGTCATGGCGTTTCCGATCCTCAATTTCCGAGATTGAGACTCCGCAAGATGCGTGTCTTCAAGTTTCGCCGCCTCTGGTTGATGAGTCAACGGCAGCGAAACCGTTTCCTGATAATGCAACAGAGGCGACGTCTGTAGCTCCTGGCGACTTAACTGTGACGGACAAAACCTTAAAAACTGCAAATTCTGACAGCGACAGAAGTTGCAACGGCTCTCCAAGGTCGCGAGTGGCAGAAGCCGGGAGTTCAGCACCGGGTAGATCGCCCTCGGCCAATGGGAGTAAAGCAGGAAGTACGCCAATCAGTAGGAAGTTATTGCTCTCGCCCGGCTGGAAGAGGGTATTTAGCGGAACTAGCCCGCTGAACTGCAGCGGCGCTCGGCGCGCTTACCTGGACGACTGCGAGAGCTGGGTGGATTCAGTGGAGGCTGAAATGGAGGACATTCTGAATGATTGGGGGGCGCTGGAGTCGCTCGTGAAGCAGAGGGCCGAGGTAGCGAAGCAGCCTATAGCGAATTTCTGCATGAGGAAGTCTGTCAGCTGCGACTCGTTGGTATCCTTGGCGGAATAAGGGGGGAAGGGGGAGGACGGGATGGGGTGGGGGGAGGGGGTTGGGGGGTGAAGTGGGAAAGCCGATCCCGCAGAAGGGAGGGGACAAGACAAGCATCCGAAACATACTGCATGCAGCTACTGGTGGAGGGTGGGGGGACCGATAAGCGGAAGGGTGGGGGGACCGACAACGGCGGCAGGAAAAAAAATAGCTGTGCCGTTTGCGGGCTCCTTCGGCGGGTGAGGGGGGTAGTGGCACCGCAATGGGTTCGGGTTGGGTGAGGGAAAAACCTGGGAGCAAGTACAAGAAGGCTGGGAAAGATGAATGAATAAGTTTTCCCCTCTCTGATGGGGGTGATAAAATGTTCCAGGTGAACCCTGGCTGTGAGGGTGGGTGGGTGGGCACATGTGAAAATAGTACATCATCCAGTCGTCCATCCATTTTTGTCTGGAACACAATCGATTGTTGTCTTTATCAACTTCTCACTGTGTTCAGACCTGATGACATGCTCAGAAATAATGCATTTCAGGAGGGGTATGTCGCATACACACCATTATGGTTCTGCAATGGAATACCCCAGTGTGCAGGTTGCTTCCACTTCCTAATATTCCTCGCTGGTCTAGGAAAAGATGGGGTACACTCCATAGGAATATATAGATACGTAATAGTTGTGAAAACGTAAGGTATCGTGAAGTGACAATGTACAGTGTGTGCGCTGTGTACATTGCAGGAATGCAGCACGGTTTCGATGTTATTTCATCTGGCCGATCTCCGCCCCAGCACAGTAACCTTGTGTTTTGTTCTGGCTGGCCCTCTCAGGGCGTGTCCTAGGTGAAGAAAATCTCGTTATTAGTTTCTGGTGGAGCTCGGTTATGCAGATTTGAGTCGTGGTCTGTGCGTTGTAGTAGTCTTCAGTGTGATAACCTTTTCAAAATCGGCACTCAGGACAAGCCCTGAGAGCTTATTTTCGGGCAAGACCCTGCCGAACCGTTTTACGTTGTTATTTGCTATTTGCGAAAAGCTTTCCATCTTGCTCGACCGCAATAAGGGGAACGCCCTCATCTTCGTCTCATCTCGTGGCGCAGGCAGGAATCGCATCGCATCGAATAAAAGCCGTCCTCTGATTGCGGTGCTTTCATCGATTGCTTGCTGTTCGTTGTCCATGTTTCCGTTTTCTGTTGACGCTGTTGCTCTGCTGATGCTGTTGCTCCTCTCCTCATGAAACAGCTGCTGCTGCTGCTGCTGTTGCTGCTGCTGCTGTTGGCCAAGAATGGGTGGGAAACGCGTGCTTTGCAGCACCCTCGTGTGAGAAACCGCGTGTTTCGCGTGCACCGGAGAGAACGAAGCGCGTGCTGTGCTTCGAATGGTGTCCGTGTTGTCCTCGGCGGCCAATGTGCAAGCATGTGTACAGTAGAAACGGATCGGATTACAGTAGTGTACACTACTGATCCGTGGAGACGTCCGATCCGAGCAAAACTCGCCTCACCTAGCTCGTGTGAGTCCAACAGTGGCTAATGGATCATTCCGCTGCTTTTGCAGGGGTCCACCGCCATGGCGTTGTTAGCGACGTGGCAAGGAGCAGCTACGCCTATTGGTTTCCCTCTTGGTCCCGCTGGTGCGCTGTCTAGCAGCAATTTGCCTTCTAGACGCATCCGCCTTTCTCTGAGATTTTCAATGACGCGCTGCTCGACAGCGCATCGGCTTCTCACGAGTCGCGAGTCACGACTCACGAGGTACTAGCAGCAACGCTCATCGCGTGATTTTCACTGACGCGCAGATTCTAGGCGGACCACTCAAATCGGAGGGGACTGCTCCCTCCCACGCACGCATGGTCTCGCAACTTTCCCACGACCCTTCCGAAGGGTCTGCGTGCGTGTGCCGATTTCAAGAGTGCATGGATAGAGCCTCACGGCTCGCCACGGCACGCCCCATCCCCAGGCAACACGTGCAGTTCACCAAGTTTGGCACATGATTGCTCGATACGGCACATATTACAGTACATCGGACGGTGATAATAGGCTTACTCACCCGCGCCACTTCCCCCGTCACACAGATGACGACCTGTGCCGGACCACCTACTACTGACCGTGACGGTAATAGCTTTCGCTGAGACCTGACAGACAGACCTGACAGAATCCGTCCAGTGACGATCTTTGGTGGGGCCTCATGCCTCGAGAGACATGCACTCTAAAGCGGGCTTGGACTCAACTCGAATCCATTTAGACTCTCGCGCTTCCTAGTACTCGTAGCAGCTCAAGTTCAGATTCCACTCTTCGACGAGACGTAGCGCTCGTATTCCACCACCCTCTTCGTCAACGTTAGCGTTACGTTCGCCCTTAACGTTCGTCCTGAGGCGTCACGAGTCGTGAGGCATCCCGCAGCCATGGGAAGCACGTGTCTTTTCGTACGCGCGTCGTCAGAAAGCATGCGACTGTTTTTGGCGCTGCGTCCGTAAAGTAGCGAGGCGTGCGATGAGGCTTCTCTCAGGATAGTACCAGTAGTTTCGTCATATCTTCCGTCATCTTTTCCGTCACCGTCATCTTCTTCGTCGTCTGTTCAGTCATCCCGCCATGTCGCAGCTGTTCCGAACGAAACTTTTCGCCTTCGCGCGTTCGCACGGCTCTAGGAAGCCGGACCGCGCTCGCCCCCCGCGACTGGCAGCAGCATCGTCGATCCTTCCCCACCCTCCTTTTCCAGTCAGCAGTGACGCAGACGTAAACGTAAACGTTAACGGAAACGGAAGCGCAGTCGCATCTCGAGGGCTGGTGACGTCGTCCGACGATTCCGAGGGGCGTTCTGCCGACCGATTCAAAGATAAAACGCCGCCTGAAACCATCATTGCTCAACATCTCGCCCCGTCGAGTCGTCTTGCTTTTTTCTGCCGAAAATGTCCCGCACTCGGCGGGGGACGCAGCGGCAGGCATGCAAGCGGCGGGCGCGGAGGCGCGGTACTACCCGCTAGCAACACATCCGCTACTAGCAGCAGCGTTAAGAGCAGCAGCTCCTATGATTGTGGTCATCGTCCTTCGCGTCTACATGGCCTGAGAGTTGGGGATGCCGAGCATGCACCTGTTTTTGCTGCTTCTGCAGCGTCAGTTTCTGTTGAGTTTCAGGTGGCATGTGCCAAGGAAGAGCATGCGCTTTTGAGCATTTCACCAGCAACAGACCCTCTTCCCGTGGCGGCCTTTCTGGGGACGAAAAATGAGGGCTGGGAGTGTTTTTCTGGAGCAAGTATCCCCTTTTTCCGGCCTGACCACAGTGGTGGTTGTGGCCGGACTTTTGAAGCGGCTGAAAGTGGACCGTTGGATCTCAGGAGGGAGATGCAGAGGCTGCATTCGGCCCCTTGCACACATGCCACGTGGCAGGAACTGGAGCTGGCCCCTGAGGAACGTTCAGAAGTTTTTCCATCTTTTGGGGATGAGGGGGTAGCAGGGGAGATACCAAGTGGTGACCTTGGTAGGTTCAGCGAGGGTGAGAGGACTTGTCACGAACCATGGCATGGTGCATACAATGATTTGGCTCAGAGGGATCTGGCCTTGAGGAGCATGAGAAATGGGTCGTTTGAGATGGAGGTTGTGCCTGATTGGCTGGGGATGCAGGGGTGCTTGGTGGGAAGGATTGAGGAGGTTGCTAGGCCGCTGAGAAGGTTCAGCTGTGACTGGGATGTGCAGCAGACTGGAAGACAGCTGAGGAAAACCCGCAGCGAGCCGATTTGAAGGGAGTATGGTGGGCCGGGGAGGGTTGAGGAGGCTGCTATGCCGCCGAGAAGGTTCCGCTGTGACTGGGATGTGCAGGTTGGAAAGCTGAGGAAAACCTGTTGTGAGCCTATTTGAAGGGAGCTAACCAAGGGGGATCATGTTGATTGATTGTGAGTTTGAATTGTAACTAATTGTTATCCAATATGTTGTATAATGTTCGCACATGTTCTTATATCGAAAGCGCGTTTGGTAAGAAGTGTATTTCATATCCTGCCTGCTGCCTGCTGCCTCCAGCCAAAGCTGCTCATCCTCCCGCCCTCTATCCCTTCCATTCACCCAACACCTAAGGTTATTCCACTCTAAGGTTATTCTTCTCCAAGATTATTTTGCTCCAGCTGAGCCGCGATGGCTCCGTCTGCTGCCAGTCAATTCTTTGCCAAAGCGTCGTCAGCTGCTGCTGCTGTGACTCCTCTGCCGCGGGTCTCATCAGCTCGTTGCCAGAGTCCGTCGACTCGTTGCCAAAGCCCGTCGACTCATAGCCAGAATCCGTCTACTCCGTCAAGTCTGTCTCCGGGCCGGTTATCCGCTAGCTGGAACCAGAGAGTCGTCGGGATATCGGCTCAGCGGCCGTTGCGGATGGCGAATGCGGGAAGAAACGCGAGAGTGACGAGCAACACACTGGCGAGATGCAGCGCGAGTAGTAGTGCCACGACAACCAACACGACCCCTTCAGAAGGTTTGTAATCATTTCTAGTAACATTTTTACGCTATGTTCGCTATGCTTTTTTTTTTTAAGATTTAGAACCCTGGCCTACTTAGTCAAAGCGAGAGGACTTTTAAGTCGACTCAAGAGTAAAACCCCCTGGCTTACCTGGACGAAACACATTGCCTGATCTAAAACCGTCGCCGATCATGCTTTCTCAAAGGCCACGTTGAGCAGTCGCTTGTTCCTATATTATTCTGGTGGCGCGTTTTTCCGCTGGAACCTTTGAAACACGCAGTTATGCTTTCTCAATTTCGACCTCCCTCCCTCCAGGCGGATGCAGTGGCCTTCGACGAAGGCATAGACGAGCTCTCTTCCCTCGGATCCCCTTTCCCTCTGATCCCCTTTCCCTCGGATCCGCTTTCAGATGTGCTGCGGATCTGGCAGACGGCGGACGCGGTGTGTTTCGACGTCGACAGCACGGTGTGCGTCGACGAAGGCATTGACGAGCTCGCCGCGTATTGCGGAGCGGGCGAGGCAGTTGCCGCCTGGACCACAAAGTAAGATGCTTTAGCTTACCGCAAACGAATTATATTTGGCCTACGTAGGGTTTGCTTCATTGACGAGCTCGCCGCGTATTGCGGAGCGGGGGTGGCAGTTGCCGCCCGGACCAAGCGCATTCTGGATTACGGTCCTTTTACATTTGTTTTACGTTTTCGATTCAAGTTTCGATTTCTTTTGAATGCATACCGGAGTTGCGGCTATTGAGAAGGCCTGACTGCCAGCCTTTAAAAGGGCATCAGTGGCGTCCGTTCCTAGCATGATGCCGCTACATTGGAGATATCACACCCTGCTGGCCTCGATTTTGCCGCTGCGTCATCTCAACGGCTGTGGCGCGAGGTCGTGGGGTAACATCACCAGGTCATCGGGCTCCTTTCCCCCCCCCCACTCCCATCCTCCCCCCCACCTCCCCCCCCGCTCCCTCCTCTAAAACAAGAAACCTAGCTATTTTTTCAACTGCTCCCTTGCGATTTTGCATCGCCTGCCTTGATTGAGCTCGCATGCGTTATAAGAGTCTCTCAGCCATGCTCATTTCCCCTGCTCCCTCGCGCTCTATAAACCCCGACTTCTTTTGAACCCTGAATTCTTTTCTCCCGCTGTCCCCGCACACAGGGCCATGTCTGGGTCGGTTCCGTTTGAAACAGCTCTGGCGGCTCGTCTGGAGATATTTAATCCCTCTGCTGCTGACGTGGCAGGGTTTCTCAGGGACCATCCGCCAAGGTAAAGTAAGCTTGGCTTGATGCGAACTCCATCCGGTTTCGTGCCTCAAATTCCCATCTATGCTTCCGTTTGCAACCGTTTGGGTTCGGGTTTGGGGGTTGGTTCGGGTTTGGGGGTTGGTTCGGGTTCGGGTTTATTTGGGTTCGGTATTGGGTTTGCTGGTTTCAGGCTCCTTCATCCATATCACCAGACGTTTCCCATGCTTGGGTTCGCAGATGGCAAGCACTCATTGCTCTTGTCTTCTGCTGTCGAATGGCGGTTGTTGTTTGATGTTCTCATGTTGTTGCGCTCAGGCTCAACCCCGGTATTGAGGAACTCGTTAAGAGAATAAAGGCAAGGGGAGCAGAGGTGTTTCTCATCTCTGGCGGATTTCGACAAATGATTGAGGTGGGCGATTAAGTTACTCCTTTTTTACCACTGCTGGCCTTACATATTATGCTCTTTCCGTATTATGCCTTTAAAGGTTTCAATCTCTACCAGAAACTCACCAATAACTGGTTAACTTTGTTGTCATCACCTCTCCCCTATCCTCCCTCTCTCTCTCCCCCCCTCCCCTCCCCTCCCCCTTCCCCCGCCCCTCCCGGCCCCATCCCTTTCCGTTCTGTCCCTCTCCTCTTGTCCTGACTCCTGTCTCAGCCTGTCGCCCTTCTTCTGGACATCCCCTTTACAAACATCTTCGCCAACCGTCTCTTGTTCGACGAGGGCAATGGCGCGTATGCTGGTTTCGACGCGACTGAGCCCACGTCTCGCAGCGGAGGGAAGCCAAAAGCTATCGCGCAGCTGAAGCAGGTGGGGGAGGGAGAGGGGGAAGGGGGAAGGGGGAAGGGGGGGATACGAGGGAGGGAGGGAGGGTGAGTGAGGGAGGAAACAGGGTGAGGCGAACACTGGGTGAGGAATGAGCACTGAGTTGGATGCGACTGAGCCCACGTCTCGCACCGGAGGGAAGCCCAAAGCTATCGCGCAGCTGAAGCAGGTGGGGGAGGGAGGTCGGGGGGGGGAGAGGGGGAGATCGGGTGAGGGAAGAGGTGGGGGCGAAGGTTGGGACGGGAAGTAGGCACTGTAGCTTTGTTCTCCCCCCCCCCCAACCCTTTCCCATCCGTTCCCCCGTTGTGTGGACTCTGCATCAGTTTTGTCTCTTTTGCTCTGTGCACCTTACCTGCTTCGTTATCTCGGTTCTCATTTTCCCACTTTCTTTCTCTCCCTCCCTCACATTTGCTTCCACTGCTATGTGCAGTCGCATGGGTTTGAAACGTTGGTCATGGTGGGAGACGGCGCTACTGATCTGGAGGTGAGCTACTGAATATTTTCAGCGGATATCAGCTCTGTTGCTTGCTGTATCAGTCCACTGGTTACCCGCAGCAAATGTGGCAGAAGCGTGCCATTGTTTCAATGCCCACCCAGCCTGGGAGCTCCAGGGACGCCCAATACATTGTATTCCAAATGTATGCCATGCACACGGGTCGTTTCTGCATCCATCATTCAATGGAGGGCTCACATATCACTGTAACCCTTCCTGCTCCGTACCTTACTCTCCCTGTGCTCTGCAGGCTCGGCAACCTGGTGGGGCGGACATGTTTGTTGGGTATGGGGGGGTTCAGGTTCGGAAAGTGGTCGCGGCTGAGGCAGATTGGTTTGTGATGGATTTTCAAGATCTGATCAGTGTGTTGTAGTTTCCGTGGTGGGATAAATGTCGGGAGACTAGACTGACATGCGCAAGTTCAGAAAAATGCAGTGAAAACGAATGGGTTCAGAGCATTGCATGTATCTTCCTTGTAAGATCAGTTTAGCCATCAATGTATCCATCTATCCAAGCATCCTTGCTTGAAAGCAACCATCCTACACCTTTTTTACATCCAGCACATCCTGCAAAACTGCAGTCAAGGCAGGCCTTCCCATCCCAAGAACCATCCAGTCCTCCAGCACTCCAGTCCTGTATCCTTCCGATCAGGCTAAAAAATCCAATACATAGCAAGCCCTTTTGCTCATCTTTTGAACCACTTGGGCCGGGAAGAGGCCCCAGCTTTTGAGGACCCAGGCGTAGCACCAGCAGACCCTGCCACCTTCCCTGGATCCACCTCCCCCTTGCCCCTATTGTCCTCTTTAGGCTGAGACCCCTCGTTACCCTTTGCTTGTTCCTCCAAGTCCAGTGGTGCTGGCAGGGGCACGTCCTTCAGAGCAAGGATTTCTGGGCGTAAAAGCGAGGCTGCATCAGAAGAAGGTTCTGCAGAGAGAAGGGGGGGAGGGGGGGAGGGAGGGGGGGAGGGAGGGGCGGAGGTGGGGGAAGTGGGGGAAGCAGGTGGGCGAGAGTGTGTTAGTCTAATCACTCCAATGGAGTGGGAGAGACAGTAGAGCTGGCAGGGGAATGTGCTTGAGAGCAAGGACTTCTGGGCGCAGGAGTGAGGCGGGTGAGGCTGCATCAGAAGATGGTTCTGTAAAGCGAAAGGGGGGGCGGGGGGAAGGGGGAGAGCAGGTGGGCGAGAGTGTGTTAATCTAATCACTCCAATCGAAGGGGAGAGAAAGTGGTGCTGGGAGGAGAGCGTGCGTGAGTGCAAGGACTTCTGCGGGCAGGAGTGAGGCGGGTGAGGCTGCATCAGAAGATGGTTCTGCAAGGGTGGGGCAGAAGGGTTGAGTGGAAGGGTGGGTTGAGTGGAAGGGTTGGTAGGGTTGAGTGGAAGAGTGGGGTAGAATGTTTGAGTGGAAGGGTGGGGTAGAAGGGTTGAGTGGAAGGCTGGGGTAGAAGGGTTGAGTGGACGGGCGGTAGAAGGGTTGAGTGGAAGGGTGGGGTAGAAGGGTGGGGTGGAGATGACAAGCGAGCGTGAGAATGAGAGGGAGAGGTGGGTTGTTGCAACGCTTGCAACAATTTGCATGCGATTCCGATTTTTGAGGCGCCTCAAATTCCGTACCGACATTTCCCTCTTTCGTTTCAAGGCCACAGCACAACCAATCAGACGACTGCCCGACTCAACGCATGGCGGCTTGTAAGTGACCACTGGAAGAGGCACACGCATTAAGTGATTGCAGCTGACTAAAGCCATTCACAGAGGACCATTAGTTTTGAGGCGCCTCAAAAGTAGACCCCTGTACGAGAAAACTGTAAGAGGCACACGCATTAAGTGATTGCAGCTAACTAAAGCCATTCACAGAGGACCACTGGTTTCATTTCACCTGTATCCGAAGATTCCACCGAGAAGTGCAGCAGCGCCCCTGGAGTGAGCTGTGCCGTGCGCAGATCCCTTTTTTTTCTTGCTTATCTGGTAATATTAAGTGAACCTTCTGGCCACTCATCCCACCTGCCGCTGAAGACTCCGCTGAGAAGTGCAGCAGCGCCCCTGGAGTGAGCTGCGCCGCGTACAGATCCTCTGCCTCGTTCTTTATCATGCGCTTTGGTGGCGTTGTGTCTGTTTGGTTAAAAAATAAAACAAACACAGCAGGCCAGAAGGGACTGCATTAACCATTGTAGTGAGCTGTGCCGCATCGCGTACAGATCCTCTGCCTCGTTCTTCATCCTCCGCTTTGGCGGGGTTGTGTCTGTTAAAATTACAAGTGAAGGAGAGAAATATGACTTGGCTTGAAACGGGTAAAAATACGTCTCACTGTTGAGAAATTCGGATGGAAAATCTACCTAGTTGAAAAATCCATGCACACAGCACGAAACAACCCAGACAGGTGCATGGGGCACATGCAGAAGGAAAGGAGCACATGCAGAAGGGTAAAAAAAAAAAAAAAAAAAAAACGCAGAAGAGAGACGCATGGACAGAATAAGGGTTGGAAGACTGACAGACGAAGAAAGGGACCTCCGGCTGTGGCCTGTTGAGTCGGCCCAAAAGCCACCTCAGAATAAGGACAAGCAGCACTCACAGAAGAAGAACGGCACATCCGGCTGTAGCAGGCACTTCTGCACCAACTGCCTGACTGCTGCTACAGTGTCCGTGGGAGAGAAAACGACCTCCACTACTGTGTTGTCTGGGAAGCGGACTCTGATGATGGCCTGAGAGTGGGTTTTGGAAGAAAGGAGCCAGTAACGTGGCAGGGAAAGAGAGACCAAGCGCAAGAGTCCATGGGATGGGAGAGAAAACGGCCTCCACTACTGTGTTGTCTGGTAAGCGGACTCTGATGATCGCCTGAGCGTGGATTTGGGGAGAGGGAACAGGGGGAAACTTCTAGCTACAGCCTGAGAAAGGGGTTGAACGGAAGAGACAGAAGAAGAGGGCGGGAAGCGAAAAAAGAAGGGCAAAAAGCGGTGGACAGCAGACAAGCAGTTCAACAAGGGGAAGTTTTGTGGAGTCATTTTTAGAATTGTCAAAAGTGGACAGCAGACAAGCAGTTCAAGAAGGGAAAGTTAGAGCTCCATGCCTTTCGAGGTGACTTATAGTTATACAAGGGAAAGTCACCTACAAGGGAAAGTCACCTACAAGGGAAAGTCACCTACAAGGGAAAGTCACCTACAAGGGAAAGTCACCTACAAGGGAAAGTTATAGTTCCATGCCTTTCATTCGGTCGGCAGCAGCATAGCCTCACCTGTTTGAACTGTGCCTTCCTTTGTTGCTGCTCTTGATCCCGAATGGCTTTGGTCTTGAGAAACCGCTCTAAAGGGCAAAGGGATGATGATTGTACAGCAGAGAAGGCAAAAAAAGGAAGGAGAGAAAAAAAGAGAAAATTAAAAAAAAAAACCTTCAGCAAAAGAACCCCTCCCAGACTCAATCACTTTGCCAGATCTGGCAAGGCGTCCGTAGAAGGTCGGTCCGATCGGCCCTACCGGATAGACTCCTTTTTTAAGCTTATTAAAACAAAATCTGAGCAAAAGTAGTTCTCCCAGGCTAAATATCTCCTGCACGCACCTTCCTTCTTTCCCGCCATCAATCTCGCATAATCCACGGTTGTGAACTCATAGAATTCCTCCGCAACCTCCCCTCCCGGATTCACCGCCTGTGGGCCTCCCTCCACCGTCGCAGAGCCAGCTTCTCGTTCGCCGTCGCCTGCCGTCGCAGCTGCATCGTTGCCGACTGTCGCAGGAGTCGCAGGCGTCGCAGGAGTCGCAGCTCCGTACGTGAAGACGCGAATCGGGCGACCAAGCATCGCCGCCACGTCAACGCTGGAGGCCATAGTGGGTCAACTACTACTAGACCGTCCTATCGACAGCCTTACTCGACGGATTATGAGATTAGAAATGGCGAAACTAAGCTACTTCAAGTTGATCAAGTTTATGTAACCGGAAGATATATCAAGACTGTCTACAAGGAGATGCAGACATGGTCAAAACAGACCGCATTAACCGAACAGGAGACGTGCTCGACACGCTCGTCAGACACGCCTTACTGTTGTACGTGATTTTTGAGAATTCTCTAAAAGCTCGTCAGACACTCCCTAGAAAATAGTAACTTTTCTAATCGATCCCTCTTTCTAGATAGGATCTCCTAACCGCTACCTCTGGTGAGTCGACGAGCTACGGCTTCTCGAGAACCTGTCGGGTTGTGAGAGTGATAGCTGGTGATTTCTTCTCTCGTCATTCAGGCTGGTCGATTAGGCGCCAGTGGCAAATGTATCAGTAGGAGAGAATTCAGGCGAAGTTATCGTTTGCTAGTAACAAGTTTCCAGAAGTACGAACAACGCTTACGCTAATTGAGTGGGGAATATTGATCAACCATTGTCAGAGTAAGGGCGATTGAAGACTGGTAAAGGTGAACAAATCAGTTAGTGTAATATCCAGAACAGTCAGCGGCGCTATATACACTGCTAGCTGCAAGAAAGAATTACATGCAAAGCACTTGAAAAACAATACTGTGAAACCTCACTAGCCTCAGTACCAGCAGCTGCATATGCAGCACTACACCATAGGAAAGGAACAATGAGAAATATACCACCAGCACTAGGGTATGTGTATGTACAATCCTGCTGCTGGCATTGGTTGGTTGAGGCACTGCCACACTGAAAGTCAGCTGCACCTTCAGTCTTGGAAGCGGGTAGACACTCCCAACTGAAAGTCATGTACCAGGTACCAGATAGGAGGTACCAGGTACCAGGTACCAGCAGGGACATTGTCACAGGCAGCAGGGACGGATGCAGCAGAGGTATGGCCCGCCAGCAGCGAGGACCACTGCAGAAGTTGCCCTAGCTGCAGGAGATGGTTGCAGATGAGTCACGCGTCTGCTGCAGCCGTGTGATAGGCCAACCGAAGCCGCCGCCCAACGCCAAGTCTGCCACCACCCCTTCCACTCCAGCTCCGTCCCAACCAATACCTCTGATAATCTGGATGAATTGGATGAATCGGAGCCTCTGTTTCAGTAGCACGAGGTCAACAGGAGCCATGGCGAATCAGCTTTAGCTGGCCAAGCCCCGAGGCCCACCCGACTCCGCAGCCCGACTTTGCAGCCAACACGCCCAGCAGATAACACACGTCCGTCCCTATGCCTGTCTATCCCCATGCCTTCTGCCATGCCCGTCCCTGTGCCCCAGATCCTCCCCACACCCCTTCCCCCACGGACATTGAAACTATTTGGAGAGTATGGTATGTACGAGGTTGACGGAGCCAGATTCTTCCCACTGTTTCGGAGCCAGTTGCACATCATTGCCTGAATTTCTTCATATATTTCCTTTTCCTCGTTTTTTCACGAATCACCACTCACACCAGGGGAGACCGCTGAGGCACACCTTTCCGTCGGCGATTGCCGGTCAGGCTCGGAGTTGACGGAGGGGAGAACCCCAGCCGCGGCGGAGATGACGGCGAGCCCTCAGGAAACGAAAACGGGGACGAGATCGGCACGAGAGGCGGGAATTTCACCATGTCCTGGAACTTCCCCATCGTCGGATTCGGGTTCTTCTCCGGATGCGGATATTTCTCCACGCGAACTCTCTTTCCCCCGCCGAATCCGCTCCGGCTCCACACGAACGACCGGTCGCCGTTACCGTTACAGTTGCCGTCAACGTCACCGTCGCCGTCACAGAGAACACGGTCGTCTTCGTCCGCTCGGGAGATCCCGTCGCTGTCAGCGCCAAAGCCGTCCTCGATATTGTCGAACTCAACAGAAGCAGCTAGCAAAGAGACTTCCGGCGATGTCGTGTTTCCGTCAGGGGCTGAGCGCTTCTTTCCACCAGCTGTCGTTCTCGCCTTCTGAACCCAAGTCGCGAATGCCAAATTGCTGCTGCCGTTGCCGTTATTCTTCCGCCACGTGTCAGCATTTCCGCCTGCCATCGCCGCATTGTACGCGCTCGGCCGGTGTGACGTGACAGCACCCGCTGCTGACGTACGCTTCGCATTACTACCACCCCCGTTCGCAGACCCCGCGCCACCATGATGATGTCCTCCAGAATTCGCCGGCGCGGACGCCGCGACTCGCGGAACAAACGAGAGAGTGGAATCTTTGGGAACTGCGGCGAGTTTGCAGCCGAGGGAGCAGAACCTGCTTGCGTCGAGCAGCATTCGCTCGCACGTCTCGCAGTAGAAGGGCGCGCCCTTCACGGGACGCGCCTGGGGCCGGCCGTTCAGAAACACGATCTTGGCGCTGTTGATGACGTACACCTGAATGTGCGACAGATCTAGGATCTTCGCGAGCTCGTTGATTCGCACGCATTCGTGATACGACGACCGGCGGATTTGGAGAATATTATGGTGCTTCGACGCGCCGCCTGAACCGGCGCCATGGATTGAGCCGCCACCGCCAGAATGTGGTGAACTGCCGGAATGGTGGTGGCTGGGGTTGTTGGAATGCTGCTGGGCAATGCAGGTGGAGCAGAGGGATTCGCCGCTACACGTGATGCAGAAGTAGTTTCGCTCGGCTCTGCTGGAGGCCGCGTGCTGCGCGCAGCTCGTGAAATAACGGCCGCGGAGCAACTTAGGGAGCCACGCGGGGCAACGGCTGGGATCGAACGACTCGTGGGAATCCATGGCTGGAAATGGAAGAGTTGCTGGAGCGCTAAACGAACTTGCAATGCAGGAAATGTGGGTGAACTGGACGATGGTGCTATTACTCAATGGTTGCTCTACCGTGCGTCTACAAAGTTCTTATGAGGAATGCATATGAAGAGATATTGACGATAAAAGGAGTTTGCAGATTATGAAGGGAGGAAGAGAAGTTACGGCCAAGGATCTGTGGGTGTTGGAAACTGAGAAGGGGACGGCTGAAGTGGTGGTTGCTTTCTGCGGAAAACTGGCGCAACTGTCGCTCTGATGAACACATGAGCGGACGCGGGAAGGCGGGGGGTAGCGAAGCGAGGCGAGCCAGCAGCCAGCCAGTTACTATGGATGTGGAGAGACTGGGCTAGGGATCAAGTGGGGTACGGAAGAGGGGTGGCGCTTGGAGGTTGCATTATGCTTGTGGCCGCTCAGCGCGGAAAGGTAACAGAAAAGCTCGCTCTGGAAAAGGAGTTCGTGAGCATTTCTCGAGGTTGGGTTTTGGGACTGCCGCAGGTTTGGAATCGGTTAGATTGGTGAACGCTGGTTTAGGTTGGGTTTGGTTGGGCTGGGTTGCAGTCTGCCGCGTGAGCAGTTGCAATCCGTTCCGTTTTTTCGTTCCGTCGAATGGGGTCGCGCGGGGCTGACGGGGCTGATTGCATTGGCTGCAGCAGCAGCAGCAGCCGAAGGCAGGCAGGTTGGGAAATGGAAAACTCAAGGCACACAGCGGCGTGCGAGCCGCCCCCAGCCCCAACCCCAACTTCAAGGCCCTAGGCAGCCATGCACCACAATTTGCCACCTGCATCAATGACAGGAGGCGGAGAAGCGACGACGAGTGAACCCACTGTCTGCTGTACACTTTTTTGTGAGTCATGCGGCGAGCCGCGCGGGACGAAAGTGCCCAGGAGAATGTCGGCAGCTCCCACCCTGGCTTGCGGCTGTGCGGGATTTCAAACGTGCGGCAATATGAGCCGTCCGATGGAGGCCAGCGGAGCTTTTATATGACATATTAGCGGTCGATCTGAAAATGTTCGCGGGATCATTTGGATCTGCTCAGGGGGGAGGAGAGTCAGGTTGGGGTGGAATCATCTGGTGCGTCCGCTGTCTCTTGAGCTTCACGCATGCGATTCGGGAACGGTTGCGATTTTCTGCATGGGGATTGGGTGGCGATTGTGTGGTGGAATTGCCCCTTTCAGAGGACTGGAACCCAATCGAAACTTCCGCCCCTGAACTGACTCAAACCCCAATCATTCGCGAATGGCCGATCACCCGTCACTAGCGAAAACGGGTTCTTGTGGCGAGGGTTTGGAACAGCCATCGCCCAAAAGGTGACTCGGGACGTGACATGAATGGCTGTGGTTAACAAACTGACACACAACTCGGCGAGATCGTTCATTTGGCGCGGAGAAAACTGACTGGATGCACAGCCCTTCCCCTGCGCTTCGCATTCCTCGTTCTCTCCGCCTCTGCCAGGTTCGTGGATCCAAACGCCACATCAGCGTCGCTGGTCTGGAAAGATCGTCGGGAGGAAGACTTGATGATGACGTCAGGTGTATGCTGACCTGAGCTCGCTTGAAAGGGACTGTTCTCGATGTTTGCATTACAGCGCGGCCCGGGAAATGGATGACGCGATGTCCGAAAATGGACCTGTAGGAGGTTCCCAAGCAGGTCGATTCGATGGCCAGCCTGGCAGGGGCCCATTCGCGGTCCCCGCAAAGCCCGATAACAGTTCACGAGAGCTGACCGTGCAACTGAAGGTCCTTTGCGCTGACGTGACATGACACTGTGGAATGCAGTATGTAACCACCAGCCCACACCTGTGAGACTGGAGAAGACCACCGACAAGTGGAAGGGGGTTGAGAAGCGCTGATGTGGCAAAGCACCGTTTTCACCGCAATGACGTGCCACAGCTGTGAGGTTGAACCGTGGCGCGTGCTGCAGTCTGCCATTGATTGTCCCGTTACAACGGCAAACCTTACCAGAATACTGGAAAGAGAATGGCTGCACCAGCTTTAAGCCCTTCACTAAATGTCTAATGTGCAACTTGATATAGGCTTTCACATAATGTGCGAAACCGAGATTGACCGATTCTAGGACGCGTGTCATCACCCCTTAAGCATCGTGTCTAAAAAACTATGGCATAAAACAATACAAATGTACAAGTGGAAAACCGCAGTACTATGGTGCACGACCACCATGCTCACAGCTTGGATTTCCCTGGCCGGGCAGCTATGAACACTTTCATCTTCTCGAAATCCTGGGGTGTCATCTGCTTGTAGTATGCCCGAGCTCTCTCCTAAAAACATGGGGGCGAGAGTGATATTAGAAGGGATGATAGAAATTATATTTTGTACTGCGTGGAAAGGAAAGATGACATTAAGGTGTTTCTCGCCGCCTCCACTTCATTGAGTGTCAACCCAATCCCAATGTTGGTCACTGCCTCGTATTAAAGCAACAGCAATACTGTTGGCGATATAAGTGACGGCAAGCACTCACCGTTTCCAGCTGTCTTCCCTCGCTTAGTGTGAGCCCTATTCCATCATTGATCACCGCCTTGTAACGAAGCACCAAGCCCGGATGGTTACCAGCCACGGTCTTGGCGATTGCAATCGCAGTCGGCATAAGTTTATCCGCATCCACCACTCGGGACAGCAGGCCCCATCGCTCCGCTGTTTCTGAGTTGACCGGCTCTGCTGTTAGAGACACCTCCCGCGCCCTGTTCACCCCGATAAGGCGAGGAAGCTTCTGCGAAAGTCCCCAAGACGGGAAAATGCCAAACCTGGAGGCCATTGGGGGAGAGAAGAACAGAAATTGTAGAGTCACATAGACTTCCCAGTGATGTCACATGCTGGCGGCAGGCCCCATCGCTTCGCCATTTCTGCGTTGACTGGCTCTGTTGTCAGAGAGACCTCCCCCGCCCTGCTCATGCCAATGAGGCGGGGAAGCTTCTTCAAAAGCCCCCATGATGGAAAATGCCGAACCTGAGGTTGGATTGGCATGGGGAAAGCAGGAAACAGAGAGGGGAGGCTGGGGAAGGAATGAGATGCTCCACACGGATGTGCTTGGTCCATACCCCATATAAGCTCACTCAACTCCATGCCCGTTATACGATCACTCAGTTCCATACCCCATATAAGCCCGCTCAGTGTGTCGTCTATTTTTGCATTGCTGCTCCCAGCCTGAAAACACCACACACCAGAACGATCTCAAAGCCAGCAGTGATGGCATGGCCGTTGATGGCCCCTATGATGCGCATCGGGCATCGCTGCATCCCCCATATAAGCTCACTCACTTGCTGTGCGTGTCTGCAAATTTGGCCTTGCTGCTGCCAATCAGAATGTCGCAAGCAAGAGCGATCTCGAAGCCAGCAGTGATGGCATGGCCGTTGATGGCCCCTATGATGGGCATCGGGCATCGCTCCATCTGCACCACCACGTCCGTTTCCTCGTCCGTCACATCCCCCTGAAACACGCTCTGTGCTGCTGTCAGATCCTGGAAAAGGGGCGAAACAGAACACCAACATTGGGAATTCTCAGCACCATCTGCACCACCGCGTCCGTTTCCTCATCCATCACATCACCTTGAAACACGCTCGGAGCAGCTGTCAGATCCTGCAAGGGGAGGGGAGAGAGAGGGGGGGGGGGGAGGGGAGGGGGGGGGGGGGGAGATATCAGAGCATCAACAGGGCATCGTGCATCGCTCCATCTGCTCCACCACGTCTGCCTCCTCGTCCGTCACATCCCCCTGAAACACGCTCTGTGCTGCTGTCAGATCCTGGAAAAGGGGTGAAATGGAACATCAACATTGGGAATTCTCAGCACCATCTGCACCACCGCGTCCGTTTCCTCATCCATCACATCATTTTGGAAAACGCTCGGAGCAGCTGTCAGATCCTGCAAGGGGAGGGGAGAGAGGGCGGAAGGGGGGGGGGGAGGATATCAGAGCATCAACAGGGCATCGGACATCGCGCCATCTGCTCCACCACGTCTGTCTCCTCGTCCGTGACGTCACCCTGAAACACGTTCTGAGCCGCTGTCAGATCCTGGAAAAGAGGCGAAACAGAACACCAACATTGGGTTTTTCAAATCCATCTGCACCACCGCGTCCATGTCTTCATCTGTCACATACCCGTGAAGCACGCTTTGAGCTGCTGTCAGATCCTGGAAAAGGGGCGAAGCAGAACATCAACATTGGGAATTCTCAGAACCAGCTGCATCACCACGTCCGTTCCTTCATCAGTCACAACCCTTGAAACAGGGACTGTGCTGCTGTGACGTTCAGCAGGGGAGGGTGGAACAGAGCAAGAAACGGAAACATCTGTGTCTTTGTAAACCATGTCTGAACCCTCCAATTCCGAGACATTCCCTTGAAACACGCTCTGAGCTGCGGCGCGATGCTGAAGGAGGCAGTGGGAGATTCCTTGCGGAATGGTTACGGAATGGTTTTGAAAAATTAATGGAATGGTTATGGAATAATCACGGAATGGTCATCTCACGTATGGATCCATATCATTAGCGAATTTTCAGCACCCCCTTTCTCACCATTCCAGCGCAGAACGCGGAGCCCGCGCCAATGAGAATGACGGCTCTCGCGTTCCCTTCCACGCGGATGCGCTTGAGCGCCTGAGCGAACTCGCGCATCATAGTCCTCGTCAGCAAGCACTTCCAACCTGCCTTCCAACCTGAATACCAATCTGAATTCCAACCTGGCATTCAACCTAACTTACTGCTGGGGTTCTCTTCAGCCTGAGCGAGCTCGCGCATAACGGGCCTCGTCAGCGAATTCATTGCCTCGGGCCGACCGCCGTGCCTTAAAAAAGTTACCTTTTCTGTGGATGGTTACCACTCGTGAAAATTGCTGCGACTCTGTGGATCCTAATAGCCCTCTGCACTATTAAACTCCCTGCTCACCACTCCAGCGCAGAACGCGCGGCCAGCTCCTGTGAGAATGACAGCCCTCGCCCTGCCTTCCACGCGGATCCGCTTGAACGCCTGCGCGAGCTCGCGCATCATGGGCCTCGTCAGCGAGTTCAGCGCCTCGGGCCGGTTGATGGTGATCTTAACTATCACCGGATCCAGCCACTCCACGAGGATCCGGCGATCGCCTGCGCCTGCGGAGCCTGCCATTGCCGTGGTCGGACTGTTGAGCTTTTGAGTTTTTGCGACTTTTTGCGACGTCTCGAAGCTCGAATCTCACGCGATGTGGCTAAGTGCTGCCGTCTGGAAGTTCCAGACAGT